GTGATTAAAATGGTCTACAATAAATAAAAAGTACTAGAGGGCACTTGGAAGTCCTGTAGACCACTAGCAAACATCCATCTCCGTAAGACAATGGCATGGTTTGCAGGTAGCATTGATTTTGTTTACACATCCAAAGCCACCCCAGCCAACTAATCAGAGTATGAAACCATGGTTCTAAGTTGGCTTAAGAATCTCAGCTTGCTTCAAGCGTGGCTTCTTGTTATATCCGTATGCCAGCTTAATTCTGATTTGTGTTGGCACCTGCCCCCAGTCAGTTGCCCAGCTACAGAGCATGAAGGAAGAACAGTTAGAAAATGAAACCAACTTTAGGTTAAAAAAAAGCTGTTGTTAATTTGCTCATCTGTGAAACTAAACCTGGCTTGTTCAAAACCGTGGTTAAAACATACCATGTCTTAGCTTTACATGTGAAAGCCAGTGGGTTTGCAATGATTCTTTGGATGAAAGCATGGATGAAACAATCCCCCCCTGATCTATTGCAAAAGTTCTGACACCACTGATAGAGAGATTCAAACTTATCCAGCTATCGGAATACCCCATGGATCTAGTACAACGTAAATCCAGATAAAGGCAGCCAGTCCACCCAAAACATCTAAAATGTTGCTGAAACCTGGATTTGCCACATCACACTGCCATCATGGATAATGTGGGTACTTCATGAAGACAGGGGTCAGCGTCTCTAACTCCAACCAGGTAGGACTTAAGTTTCTGGTAGAGCTGCTGCTGCGGGCCTGCAATATACTTTATTTGTGGGTTCTCTGCTTCTGAGCCTTTGAACAGTATAATCATCTCCTGAATAGTTTATGTTGTGTGTTCTCTTCTCCTTAGCAGTAACATTCCTGAAGGGTGCTGCTCTGGTCTGGTCTCATCTTGCAGTAGTATCTGGATCCAAGTCCTGCACTGAGCCAAGAGAGACTATATCTGGCAGAAGCAGGAATATTCATCAACTGACTACACATGGGGTAGAATGAAGTTTATCTGGTGTACACTCCTAAGGATCAAAGCTTTCAATGACCTCCTACAGTAACTCAGGCTTCAAAGGCCAGGTAAAAGAGGTGTGTCTTCAGCATATGACAAAAGTAATACAGTGAAGGTGCCAGATCCAGTTCCGTGGGGAGGGAATTCCACAGTTTAGGGAATTGTGTCCCCACCTCCAGGCCACCACACCCAAGGGTGGCGATGCAACTAACAAGAGGGCCTCCTCTGCTGATCTTAACACCCAAGGCACTCTGTAGGAAAGGAGCTCTCTTTCAGATATTTGGGACCGAAGTCATTTAGGGATTTGGACACTAATTTAAGCACCTTGCCTTGTGCCTACAAGTGAACTGGCAATCAGTACAGCTGCTTTAGATCAGGAGTTAATTCTAAATGGGAACCCAAGCCAATAATCTGACTGCTGCACTTTGGACCAGTTGAAATTGCCAGTGTGTCTTTAAGAGCACCCCACAAAGAGTGTGCTACAATAATCCAATCTGGAAGTTACCGGAACATAGAGTACAGTGCCCAAGTCATTTCTGTCCCAAAGGGGTCACAGCTGGAAATAGGCAGTCCTAGCCACTTCAGTGCCAAGGTTGGATCCAGGAGTATCTACAAGTTGCAGAACTGCAACCCCATCCAGAACAGGCCACCTCCCCACCTTTTCAACATGACTCAGAACCCTGTTAACACCTCTGTCTTACCAGGATTCAGCTTCAATTTATTGGCCTACATCAAATCCATTACTGCTTCCAAACACTGGTCTAACACTTGAACTGCATCGTCTGATTCAGAGGGAATGGAGAGGTGGAGCTATGCATCACCTGCACGTTGATGGCACCTTTCTCCAAATCTCCTGAAGACATCTCACAGCAGCTTCAAAAGGTATTAAATAGCACGGGGGGGGGGCAAGATGTAACCCTGCAGGATGCCACAGAACTCCCATGGTGCCATAGCTACTTTCTCAAAATGGCTCCACTGTAATGCAGTGTTTCCCAACCCCAGTCTGGAGAGCTCTCTACAAGGATATCATGGCCAAAGATTTTAAAAGCCATAGGGAGGTCAAGGAGAATGAGCAGAGTGACATTCACCCCATTTGTCTCCCAACAAATGTAACCAAGCAGGGCAACCAAAGCAGTTTCAGTGCCATGACGAGACCTGGAACCGGACTGAAATGTGACCAAATAATCAGTTTCCTTCAAGCTTGCCTGAAACTAGGCTGTCGTCATCTTCTCGAACACCTTGCCCCCAAAGGGGATATTTGCCACAAAAAAGACATTATTTTTTTAAAAAAGTTCTTATATTCCTTACCAAAGCTGAATATTTCCCTCTCATGGTCTCTCCCCCTTAAAATCCTACCTTTTTAAAAGTCATTTAAAAGGTACTTGCAAATTGGTGACATTAATAATAATACTAGGAAGATGAAAGGGAAAAATAGGGAATGTTTGGCTGCCACAAAATCAGTATTTCAGCATTTTTCAAAGAATAATTGAAACCACTGAAAAGGGAAATCTGGCCAGTAGCTTAAAAGCATTGTGTTCTTGTGATCCAGTGGCTGGAACTAGCAAACAAGTCTTCATTGTATTTGTTAATTAAAAGATCTGTAGACCACTCTTTAACAAAATTGATCCCTGGGCAGTTTAATTAATTAAAGGGACAGAATTGACTTTAAAAAGCAACATAGGAATGCCTCATGACATATTTAGAGACACTATTTTCTCACAGAGGATAAGCCTTTGCTCATCATCTATATGACGGGATTAAAGGATTTTAGGAACTCACAAGAATCCTATGTAACCGGTCTAGTTCATGTTATTGGTATCAAATTACAGAGGAACATCTCTCAAAATCACAAGCCTGAAGCAGCTAGAACTTTCTTTAGTGAGATCTACAGTGAGCAAGATTCAAGTCTCAAAATGCCTGTGTGTGTGTGTGTGTGTGTGTGTGTGTGTACACACCCAGGATAGTCAAAATGTTGCACAAATAGCATCTTCTCAACTTTAGTCCTGCCTATTATTGGCTTCCTTTGTCCTGCACCATAATGAAGATTCAAGTGCAGGATTTCTTTCCTTTGGACACTTTCAGAATACAAGCAGCCTTTTCTTTTCTCCGTTCAACCACTGCCCCAATATCCACACATTTGTTCCCCTCTATGTATTAAGAGTTATTTGTGTAACTTCACAACACATTAATTCAATTATTAATGTTTAGAGCTCTAGTTTTGTTTTTTGTTTTTTTTACACAGCTATGAACTTAAGCAATGAGTTAGAAAACATAGATTATTCAACCAAATGCAGAAATGGCTTGATTCATGGAACAACCTAGCTATTGGATAAATAATATTTTAAGGAAACAGCTAGAAAGGTGTAATTGGGAACAAAGGAAACACAAGCAGGTATATTTGGGAGCCTGGTGAAGAAGTATGGCATTTTAGTTCATTTCAGCAGGATAACTGGGAGTCATTTACCATGTTCGTCTCTCTGGTGTCTACTAGATAACATTTTCCCTATAACGCTTAGCATTTATATAGCACTTTAGAGTGCTAAAAGTGCTTTGCGTACATTATTTTAGTAATAACTCGTTTTCTTTAGCTTACCCAAAGGTGCTATAGGAAGTTCCTTTAACTTTCTATCACTTTATGGCATAAACATTCTGAATGGCAGTAATATTTGGGGGAAACTCCAGCACTGAAAGAAAACTGAATTGCTATTTCTCCCCCACATTTAACCTAACAAAAGTTATTATGATAACCTACTATGTTTCTTCCCCTGATGAACCTGGACATGGATCATGAATAGAAGAAGACACAGTTGCTGGACATGGGCACTGACCTAGCTGAGGAAGGGACAGCCAGGAAGGACTGGCATGGTCCAGTAAGACTAGATGCCCAATCTCTGGGGAGGAAACAGCTAGAGGAGAAACCAAGCCTCCAGACTCACAGCCAGCAACCTTCCCCACACCCAAGCTGCCAGCAAGAGGCTGCTGAAGATCTGCCCCAGGGATCATGTTTACAGAGCCCCACTTACCATTTGTTTTCAACTATAGTACTACCTGCCCAGAAAAGCATTAAAGTGCACCCCCCCCCATTCTAATACCATGAAATGATGGAACGAATTCCCACCCATATATCTTAGCCACTTAGCTGAAACTGTTTTCAGTGAGCTCTGCTGTGGCCCAGCAAAATCCTTACAAATCTGCCTCATCATACAGCCGAGCTGAACAAGCTGTGTCCATGGGCTAAGAGCATCCCGCAGCTTCACTCAATGTGGCCTCCAACATACAGCACCCTCTGTACTCTCATAACCCCCCCCAGCACTTCTCAGATCTTCGCCCTGTCCCTAGGAACCTCCTATGTTTTCACTTTGTTCAAGCTGCCACCAAGAGGTGGAAGTGAAAAGACACAGGTAAGCAGTCAGTATGGAGCACATGTGAGCTTGGACCACCAACCACAGAGTGCAGTTACTAGAGTAGTGTTGCTTCCTCTGGAATGACACTCTAGGCACTACACACTGTGGTTTGGACTTCAAACTCACATGTGCACATGTCTGCCTGCCTACCTGTGTCTCTTCTCTTCGCAGCACAGAAAGGAATGGAAACACAGAACGAGGAGCACAGGGGTGGAAGTGGGGGATTTCAGAGGGGCAGAAAGGGCATACAGGAACCTAACGGGAAATCCACTGAACATCTATGTTTTGACACTTTTTTGCATCGAGGAGGGTTCATGTCATCCCACTTTCAACGGTGGTCTTAACTGATGATGATGATAATTTATTACGGTTGGAGACCAGCTTAATGGCCTTAATTAAATATTCTTGATGCTGGTGCCATAATAATACTTATATTGAAAACATACCTCTGGAATCTGGTAGAGCAGAGTAAGAATCAGACTTGCATTCTCTGTGACAGATTGGGGGTGGGGACGTTTTCCTAGAGGCAACAACTTTATACAATCGAAATGGGAACTAAAGCAAAAAAAGGATGAACGGTGCTTATTTTGAATGTCTTACCTGTCTCTCAGGACCAGTAGGCTCAGATTCTCGTCTCCGCTGTCGGATAGCTGGTGCTGAATATAAGGGGGACTGTGTGGGGCTTCCTGGTTGCTGTTCATGTTTGCTGTCAGAGACTGATTGACAATGCCCTTCATGTCTGTGGGAACTGTCCTCCTCAGCCACAGGCTGCATACCCCGGGTTCTCCCATCATGAATTTTCGGCCTCACTGCCAATTCTGCCCCCAGTCGCCTTCTCTCGTCACCCTCTTCAATAGGCCTCAGCTCCTCGGGCTCTTCATCTGTTGTTCCAGATGTGCTTGGTTCAGCACCAGGGTGGAAGTCCTTCAGCTCTGTTTCCTTATCAATTATAACCCACTCTTTGCTGTCAAAGTCCTCCTCCTCAGCCAGGGGTACCGATCGGAAAGCATTGCTGAGGGCTTCATGCTCCACAGAAGCAGACACATCCATCCTGCCACTTGCCTGCCTGTCTACCTGTCCGGTGTCAATGGACAGCATCTGTGCTGGCTGGGAAGAGCATACAAGCCGTGAAGGAGAACAGGGCAAATCCACTCGTGACCTGAAAATAAGACAAAAAGCCTAAGGGGCAGCAATAATAATAATAATAATAATAGTAATAATAATAATAATACCCCACCCATCTGGGCAGCTTACAGTACAAATAAAAACATAGTAAAACGTCAAACATTAAAAACTTCCCAATTCAGGGCTGCCTTCAGGTGTCTTCTAAAAGTTGTGTAGTTCTTTATCTCCTTGACATCTGATAGGAGGGCGTTCCACAAGGAGGGTGTCACTGCCCAGAAGGCCCTCTGCCTGCTTCCCTGTAACTTCACTTCTCGCAGTGAGGGAACCACCTGAAGGCCCTCAGAGGAGGACCTCAGTTCCGGGCTGAGCGATGGAGGTAGAGACCTCCTTCAGGTATTGTGGGCTGAGGCCGTTTAGGGCTTTAAAGGTCAGCACCAACACTCTGAATTCTGCTAGAATTCAGCTCAAGATTTAAGACTAAAGGTTTACTGAAGTGTAATATTGATACGCACAAGTTCTTGTGCAATAAAGACACTATATAATTTTTAATAGCAAATCATCTGAATGCACCTTTCACGAATCACATGGCAAGATTTGCTATTTACCAAGTATTCAAGGTCTCCATTGCTTTGCATATTTCCACATGTTCCTCTCCTTCTGAAATATCTGCAGAATGCTCTGCGCAAAATCTTCACTCCTGGGTCTTGTTACAGACCTGGGAGGATTTTAGCTGCTAGTACCCAAATACAACTGCCCCTGTCCTGCTACAGATACTCCCCAGTAAAGGGGCATCACACTACTAGCTGAATGCAGGACTGAAATTGAACAAGAGGCTCACCTGAGCTTAGTTCCAGAAACTACATGTTGTCCCAGATCACGGTCCTGAATTTTTAAAAAAGTGAGTGGTTCATTCTGAACATACATATCCGGAAGTTAAGGTATGTGAACATATTGCTTCCCATCCCTACAAACAGCTTTACACAACAAGGCAGCTACTTGCTTTTCTTGTCCATGTTTTCATATAATCGCCTAAAAGCAGAACTTTCAGACAACCAAAAGAAACCTTGTGTGATGTTTGAACATTGATTGTGTAAGTGTATATCTAAAGACAATGGATAAAACGAGCACCCTTAGATGTACAGCTGGATAAGTGTTTATGGCTATCGTATTTGTATTTATTTAAAAACCAATAAAGATTGTTTTAAAATTTAATAATCTTGTGTTAATCTCATGAACTACTTTTTCATTCTGTTAAAACCTATCATTGAAAGTTCTCAAACTTCACTCAGAACCAATTGTATTAATATTTTGAAAGTGAAAAAAGTAAGTGCAAAATGATGACTTCGTTGAGTTCATAACCTTTTTATAAATCTAGAATCTGGATTTGAGTTATCCCTGCTGTGACTGCATACCGTGCAGTAAATATTATGCTGTATTTTATCAGTAATTATCAAGCCTTTCCAGGAGAAAGAGGTGCCCAAAACAGATCCACCAACAGGGGAAACAGATGGCATGCTAGTGATAAAACTAAAAGTAACCCCAGAGCCTAAATAAAATAATGGAAAATTCCCCTATCCTCTTATTAACTGATTGTAACCATATTACATGTCCTCTTGGTTTCTAGAATCCTCATCCGAACTGGATTTCTAGACCTCTCTGATATTGGGAAACCTCTCATTACTCTTAAGGCAGAACATATTTAAACACCAATAATATGGTTATTTTTCTTGAATAAAAATGAATTGTGCTGCCCTTTTCCATTAGTATCTGAATACAGCAGAGTGTTCCTGAGATGTTGTGCCATCATAAGTCACCTTCACCATAAAACAGCAGAATAATCTTTAGCATGCAATAAACAATTCTATTAGGAAAGTATTACAGCGGATACTACCCACAATGGGTAAGCTCTGTACATCCAAGCATTCATTCATTTTGGATGAAAGGGATCCAAAATGGTGCTTGGAAATGGGAACTCATTGTCTTTCACAAACAAACTTTCCGTTATTTTAAATAAAACCCTATTAAGCTTAAAGACTTCAGACATCTCCTAAAACCTCAGTTTTCTACCCAGGCCTATCTGGATCCTTGAAAGTTTTATCCTGTTCAGTTGCTGACTTGATGTTTTAAATGATAGGTTTTTAATGATGTTCTGTGTAATAAAGACACTATATAATGTGTAACAGCAAATCTCCAGAGAGGTTTTTGGCAACGCCAACTTCTGCACTGGAAGAAAAGCATCTGGTGACTGTGTTTTTCTGCTAGTGATTTTCAGGACTAGCAACAAAAGGCTAGGATTTATTTCTTGTGAAAGGAAAGGATTCTTCCAGTTTCTCTCACATAGAAATAAACATTCTTTCACACAGAGAAGAAACTTTCGAGAACCCTCTTGAACTAATCAGGAATAGGAAAGATCTCTACACATCAGATCAATACTTTCTGTACTAAGAAATGAAAACTGACATTTAATGTACTTATTTGTATTTTACTTGTATTTTGATTTTATAAATTTCTGTAAAAAATGTTCAGTGGTATATAAATTTTCTAAATAAGTAAATAATAAAAAGTCCATGTGGACAATAAACAAACCTTCGCTCATGCTGATCTCCTTTCCCATCAGCAGTGGAGAGGCGCTCAGACTCAGGGCTGTTCACACGACGGTATCTCAGAGAACGTCCTTGAGTAGTAGGGGAATCTGGTGCAGCTCGCACTGGGGAGCTTGGGCACACACCACTTTTCTGATCTTCTTCTGCCAAACATTGTGTCTGCAAAAGATAGCAAACCCCCAAAACAACATTACAGATCCAGCTAAGGCACTGTAGTGAGCGTGATGCCAATCTCAGAAGCATCATTTGGAAGACTCAGGGCAATACAATCATGTTTATACTGTCTTGACTGCCCTTTTTTTTAATGAAGAGTAGTCACAATTCAAAGGAATTATGAAGCTGACACTGAGCACCAAGGCAGAATCGGAAGTTTATGATGGATTCTTCCTAACTTTAGCCCTGTTCAAATATTCACAAAATATTCATGGTGGTGGAACAGGAACATGACAATCCCCAGCACCCTCTTTGTGCACAATGCAGAGAATGACTAGATTAGAGGGCACATGCTCTCACATGTCTCAGAGCTGGTTCATATGTTATTTTCCTTAGGTTCCTCTTGCGTTGTCTATTCAAGTAAACGGCGTAAGAGAAGGATTGCAGCAGTTACTTCCACTTTCCAATGCAGGCTGCTCAGAGGTAATAACTGTGATCTACCAGGAGTATCTCCTTTGACATTATGATCCCCGTGTGAGTACATACAGCAAAATTAAGTGGCAACTTTAGTTCAGCATTTTGTTGATGGTATCTCTTCTGTGGGCCGCCATCTTTTGATTTATAGGAAGAAAAGCAGCACCCAGAAAGCTGGATTCCAAGTAGGTAGAGCAGTATTCGTAATTAGAGCTTTATTAGATAAAATACCAGTGTCTCTCAAGCTCCTGTATCATTGATTTTTACCAAAACCCAAAGCACTTCACTCATTAATTTCAAATCTTTTCACAGCTGCAAAACTCATGAAGGCAATAAATAGATAAATGAAAGGAATCTGAGTGAAACTGGAAGGCTAATGGACAGGGAGGACAATGTAAATAAATATTTGTTGTAACATGGAGTCCTTAATCATGATTGAAAGCATAGGTATAAATCTGGTCTATGTACCTATTTTTGATATGGAAATGTCTCAAAGAAATGCCAAGAAATATGATGTTTACATGTCAGGCAAGAAGAACCACTTCCTTTGGATGAATCTACAAATTCAAAATGTGGTGCTCTGTTTCTTGCAAAAAGCCTTTAAAAGGCCTCTACAATACAACAATTCTATCATTCACTTTTCTTTTCTTTTTAAATAGTAAATTTTATTAGTATTTTCCACACAACAAAAAACCCCCAAAAATAACAATACACAAAACACAAAAACAAGCATATAAAAAACAAATTCAAATCTTACAATTTAATAATATGAACACTAAAAAGGAAAACAAACATTGACTTCCACCAATCCCACAGCACCTCCTTTACCTCTCATTGTATCTTCATGTTTTCCTTATCATCTCTATCCTAACATCTAGATAAATATCACTCTTTCTTATCCTTTCACTTCCCAAGGTTATTCCAGACTCAGCCATATTTCTGTCCTCAAACCTTGGCTTTTAAGGTATTCATTTGGGCACTCCCATTCCTTTTTCACTTCACTTTTTTGTTTTTGCCTTATTATATCTGTCAATTTGGCTAATTCTAAATATTCTGAAAGCTTACATAACCATTCTCCCCTAGTGGGTAACTGATTCCTTTTCCAATACTAAGCCGCCAGGATTCTTGCTGCAGACATCGCGTATAAGAAAAATCTAGTTTTGTCTTTTGGAATATCGTCATTTAAAATTCCTAAAAGGAATGCCTCTGGCCTTTTACTATATCATATTCTTAGTATTTTCTTTATTTCTTCGCTGATCATGCTCCAAAATTTCCCAATTTCGGGGCATGTCCACCACATATGGTAGAAGGTTCCTTTTTGTTTCTTACATCTCCAGCACTTATTATTATAGGTTTTATTCCTTTTTGCCAGCCTTTTTGGCGCCAGGTACCACCTATGATGCATTTTCATATAGTTCTCTCTTATTAGGTAACATGCCGTGAAATTTATATTTTTTGTCCATAGTCTTTCCCATTCATTATATTCAATTGAGTGGCCCAGATCTTGTTCCTATTTTTTAATTGTGTCACCTTTTTCCTCCTTTTCTATTTTCCCATTTTGTAACAATTTATATATTTTTGAGAGTCTGTTGGTTGTTGTATAAGATTTCCTTCTCCCATACCGAGATTTATTTATTAAACCCCTTAAGTTTATTATCCTTCTCAAATATTGTTTTTAATTGGAAATATTCTAACCAATTCACACACACCCCTCTTTTACTTCTTCAAACTTCTTTACTGTCAGGCAATCCTTTATCTCTTCTATGAGTTCCCTATATGTTAGCCAACTGTCTTTCATATTACTTCTATGCATGGCTGATGACTCTATAGGCGACAGCCACCAGGGAGTTTTGGCTGTTACTATTGTTTTCTTTCTTTCCCAAACTTCAAATAGAGCCTTTCTCACCAAATTATTAGTAAAGCCTCTATGTGCTTTTATTTTATCATGACCCAGGTAGCCATGCCACTCAAAAACTTTGCCCCAGCCCTCCAGGTCTAGGATGTCCGTAACATCCGATCTTTCAGCCACGTCATGCATGCAGCCTCAAAATACAGCTTGAGGTCTGGGACTGCGAACCCACCCCTTTCTCTAGGCTCCATCAATACTTTGAACCTTATTCTTGGCTTCTTACTCTGCCAAATAAAATTGGAAATATCCCTTTGCCAGCCTTTAAAACATTTTGTCCCAATAATTATTGGGATCGTCTGGAAAAGAAAGAGCATTTTTGGGAGAATTGACATTTTTATCAAGGATATCCTACCCCATAAAAACAACTTCAATTTTTCTCCATTTATTTAAATATCCTTCTATTTCCTTCCAGTTCTTCACATAATTATCTTTGTACAAATTGGTATTTTTATTTGTAATCCAGATCCCCAAATACTTAGCTTTCATTGTGATTTTAAGGCCTGTTACCCTTTCCAATTCTTCCTGTTCCTTTACCCCCATATTTTTCGTTAATAATTTAGATTTTTCTTTATTTAACTAGAAGCCCGATACTCCTCCGTACTCAGTCAGTTTCTGTAAGGCTCTTTTATCATTCTCTTTTCATTTGTAATGCTATATTTGTGACTGTGAATAACGTGAAGTTCTCAGTTCTTAACAGAAACCAGCAGGAAAAAGAAACAGTGCCCATTCAAAAGGATCAAAGGACTTTACTTTGCTGATGCTGATCCTGAGCTTGTTGCGGTTCACGTCCGTCTCTTCCCAAACCTCTCCTTCATTGAAGGCAGTGTTTGGAGCCTGGCCTAAGCTTTCCGCTGGCCGGCCAGGCAAGATTGGGGGAGCATTTTCCTGGTCGCTCAGGTGCTCGCCTTGCAAAACATCCTCCGTGTTCTCACGAAGTAAATCTCCAGGAACTGGAGTGACATTAACCACACTAGAGGGGAGACAAGCAACAGCATCAGCTGAAAAGGTCCTGATAGCGCAGTCAGCTTTCTGTTATTATTATTATTATTATTATTATTATTATTATTATCATCATCATCATCACCATCACTTTGATTTATATACTGTCCTTTATCAAAAGATCTCAGAATACAACATTAAAAACATATTTTACAGAGCATAATAAAAACATAAAACAAAGCATTAGTAATAAATATAATAATAATAATAATAAAAAATAATCATAATAACAGCCCCCCTCCTTTAACAGGCCATAGATTATTTAATGGATGAAGGCCTGGGTAAAGAGGAATGTTTTTGCCTGGTGCCTAAAGTCATGTAATGATGGTGCCAGGTGAGCATCTCTGGGGAGAGCATTTCACAGATGGGGAGCTACCACAAAAAAGGCCCGTTCTCATGTTGGCACCCACCAAACCTCTCAGGGAGGGGGAACATAGAGAAGGGCTTGGATGTCAAGCACAGGGTCCAGGTCATTTCGTATGCGGAGCAGTGGTCCTTAAGGTATTGAGGTCCTAAGCCTTGTAATGTCACACAAGCTCCCAAATTGTGCACGTGCCTTCTACAGACCATTTGAAAAAGTGCTTTCTTCTTACAGAAGGGCATGAACAGTGCTGAAGAATGGAGGTGGCAAGAGCCAAGGTTTGGCCTGGAGGACAGGTGGGGTTTTCCCTAGCTAGGCTTTCTCCATCTTCCTTATTTTACTCTGCTTCAGAAACAGTATGGTACTAAGGCAGTGCCACAAAGACCCCACCAGAGAGCAACCACTATCCTGGATAATGTACTATCACACTGAGCATGTTGCAACAGTCTACCTTTATGGGATGCAGCAACCTAGGCAGAACATGATGTCACCAAATGCCACAGGAGTGCTTGTACTCGGAATCTCCTCATCTAGTGGCTATATTGTGATGTGGGAGGAGACTGTCCAAGATCACACTGTTTAAATGAATGGATTACATGATATTCACGTAAATTCATGACATTATCAGAACTGTAACCAAAAACTATCTTCTGGGAATTCTTGCCGTTGTAAAATGAACAGTATATAGGATATATAATAATAAATAATGTCCCTGAAGAATGACTGATTCCTCTTGTAAGATTCTGCAAATATTGACAACACCAAGGGCTGTGAATGTGTCACTCACCCAAACATAGCTGCTGTCTGCCTTGTGTTCTGCTGAGGTGGAGTAGAGGTGCTTGTAGATAATAAAATATCTGTACCGGCTTTTTCCCAGTCAAAGGCCTCGTTCTCAGTAATACCTCTTTCTTTCATGCTGTTTTCAAACACGGTCATGATGAGCTAGAAGAAAAGCAAATTATAATAAGGTTCATATGTTCATCCACAGTCAGAAAGAACAGGGACATAGAAAGCAACCTTATACTAGACTTTTTCTTCAACTAGTCCAGTACTGTCTACTCTGACAGGCAGCAGAAATCTAGGGGTTCGGATCCTTTTACCTGACGTTGTCAGGGACTGAACTTGAGATGGAGCATTCTGTACGTAGAACAGGTGTTCTACCACTGAGCTATGGCCTCTCCTCAAATAATCTTTTAAAAGAATTTCCCTATGTGTTTTCCGATTTTCATCTGGTGTAGAACAATATATAACAACTGTCAGGGGTAACCGTCTTATGTAACTTTCACCAAATACTGTCAACCCTGGTTAAAGCAAGCCATCTCAGGGCACGCCTGAGAGGAAACATCTCCTGCTTAAAGGTTCTGCATTTGTGCACCACCTGAACTGTGAGCCAAGCAGACAATGCAGCTTGCACCGACATCCCTAAGATTCTTATCTTAAGCTTGGATTGCAGGGTGCTCTGAATGGAGAAAATCAACAAGAGAGGAAGGGAGGCGTGCTCCCAGTCACAAAGAATCCCCAAGTGACAACAACAGCAAAGCCTAATTGCATACTTGGTAAGTATACAATTGGGCATAATCTGTGGTATTATTTGCTGCTTATAATAAAATCTACAACAACTTGCAAATGACCCATGTGTTCTGTTATCTAGCTGCTGCACAGTCGCTGCACAATGGGAGGTCAGTCCACTAATCCATATAATAGTGCCTTAGTCATGAGTATGAAAAATAATCTTAGAGTAATTTCAGAATCTGATTTCAGATCACAGGGACCAGCTATAGCAGGGAACTCAATCCATTTCAGCATTTGAATATCCTGGGAGAAAGCCCTTTAAGCCATTGGCTAATGTGCGCAAGCATTTTCTTTTCTATACATCATAGACGGGGGTGGATGGGACATTTGGCCCTCCAGATGTCACTGAACTACAGCTCCGGTCAGTCCCAGAAAGCACGGGGCAATAGTTACAATGCTGAGCTATAGTTGATCAACTTCTGGAGGGCCAAAAGTTCCCCACACCTATGATAGATAGTGAAAAACAGTCTAGATATATTGGTGTAAGAATTCATTTGTTACCATCAAAGGTGTTGCACACACAACTCATAAAATATGCCGTAAATCATTCTATTAATCCATTTATACATTCCTCAAATCATGTTTTAGCAAACGAACTGGATTTGAATCATCCTAATTAGCTGTTTGTGGGGATGGCTGGATACCATCTCGAAAAGTATTATCGTAGGACTTAATACTCCTTTGAAACCAAACAAATGGATATAATCTACAGTTTCGGAATAACTGCAATCTTGGGAAGGGACAAATATGCTGCTTCCATTTTGATCATATTTTGAAGGCATGGGAAATTGTCAATGGACAATTAGGGATCTCCAAAGCATTCCAGCTAGCTCTTCCCACACAAACAACATTCCCAACACATTTGGGAAATACCATTTTATTGGTTTGAAGATGAAAAGGACACACCTCTCTGTTATTATATGTCTCAGAGGTTTTTACCTGATAATCTGGTTTAGTAAAGTAATCCAGATTTGCAATGTGATCCAGAAAAAGGTGGAACTCGGAAGGCATATGTTTTAGCAGCATTCGATGTTCGTATTTCTCTTTAATCATACCAACTTGCTCCTGCAAAGAAAAAATACCATCACACAACATTACACTACACATAACATGAAACTCAGACAGATAAAATGACCAAGAAAATGGAGGGTCTTATTCAGTCACTGACTGAGTTCTCTACCTTATCTTTTATCTTGCGCCATGGAAGCTGACCAACTGCAAACTCCACCAGCATGTAAAAAAGGGACCACAGGTCATCATGTCGACCCATCTCCTGGAGAAAAATGAAAGTACAAAAATCAAGCTGCTGATAGTGTCTTCAACAGAGCAGGTGACTGCTGCCCTATGATCCAGTTGATGACAAATCCACTGAACATACAATTAAGAGCAGGCTCACAGAATGTAATGAAAATGATGTATAGTTGGTATTTAACACTGGTGAAACTGGCCAATATGTATAGGATGAGGAACAAACTATGTTGGAAATGTGGAGAGAAAGATGGGGATTTTTATCATACAGTATGTGGTGGGAATGTGATAAAGTAAAAGTATTTTGGGAATTGGTCTATAATGAACTAAAAAAGATGTTTAGATATACCTTCCCCAAAAAACCTGAGGCTTTTTTGCTGGGTTTGATGGGAAAAGAAATTGCAAGTATAGACCAAAGACTATTTATGTATGCCAGAACAGTGGCAAGAACTTTATTAGCCCAAAGATGGAAATTGCAGGAACTACCAATGATTGAAGCATGGCAGACAAAGATTATGGACTTTGCGGAACTGGCCAAGCTGACAGGCAGGATCCGGAACCAAGACGACCAAAAGTTTCAAAGAGATTGGAGTAAATTTATTGGGTATATGAATAATTATTGTAAAAATGTGAAGACACTAGTGGGATTGATATAAATTCTGCAACGAAGAAACTGTAACTCTCAAAACTATATAGACCATTGAGACAGAGTTGATCATAAGGATATAAAGGTCTGAAGTAGTGGATATAAAGTGCGACACAAAGATTTGAAAATTAAAAACCGGTTGAAGGGATGGAAGGATGTCACAAGTTCAGTAGAGCAAAGAATTTATTTGTTTTGTTATTGGTATGCTGAAATATTTTGTTAAAAAATAAATTAATAAAAAATAACATTAAAAAAAAGAGCAGGCTCTCACAAGGTTAAAGATCTAGAGTAATAGTTTTCAAACCTTCTATCTCTGGGGAACTTTTTCTACATTGCGTTGTCTGTTGAGGAATTCCTGTATATCAATCATGGAACCTCTTTACAAGAGGCTTCAGCAAAATTTGAATTACAGAGGCCCAAAGAGGTTGAAGCCAAAGAGCTTTTTTTTTGTTTTGTTTTAAGGCCACATGATATGACTAAAATTGGGAAGAGTTGAAGGGTGAGATTTATGGATTTCATTAAGTCCTCTCTACCTATTTCCACATTGCCTTGTAGTTTAGCATGTGGTCTACCTGCAGGCTGGACCCAATCGTTTGCCCTAAAAGACACCAAAAGCTGTATGCTACAGGAAAGGATTAGTAGATGACAAACTGTCAGAAATTGTGGAGATGGATTGACCAGTAAAATATTTTTCTAGGTATGCATCTCCCATGTGCTCTAATATTTTTGATACTTACTATGTATTAGCATGCCATTAGCATGCTAGGTGCATGCCTTAGCATGATCCTAGCATGCTAATGTCACATGCAAAGAGGCCAACAACCATGGCAAGTGTTTTTAAACATGGTGTGTATGGAATGCTTACAATGGGAGTGGGAATACCAGGTCCTGTACCCAAATCTGGCCCTCCGTCCTCTCTATCTGGCCCAGGGGGCTTTCCCCCAGGCCACACCTCTTGCGTCACACACAGATGGCTCAGAAATGTCCTAAAACTCCAATAATGACTTTTATAGAACAGAGTATATGAGTGTGTAGAAACTAGCCTACAATACAAAGTTAACTTTTACATTTATTGAACTGCCCACTATTGTCTGCGGTCTAATCCATCACTGGCATGTGGCCCCTAGAAGGCTGCATAGAAAGGACTGAAGCCCTCAGGCTGAATAAGTCCATTCACCCCTGGACCATAGCAGCCGTCATTTCAAAAATAAACTAAAAGCAATTTAATCTTGTTCAATGACAAATTTTGGAAGTCTTTGGCCACAGAGAAAAGATCTTGCAAGGTTGGATGCAGTCTATGGGCTAACTATCCCTTCTGAGCAGCAATCACTATGAAGGTGAACTCTATACTATCTTTAGTGCCGTACTGTATATTACCCTGTACTGTTTTATCATTACAACACCCGGCAAGGATAGCTATAACTGCTACTATGTTCCAAACATCCGAGAACCAAGTTCCTGGGAACAAATGCCAGGGGAAAGCTGAGGCCCTCCTGCCCTTCCTGTGAGCATCTAGAGGCATCTAGCTGGCTACTGATGAAAACAGAGTTCTGGCTTAGATGGACTTTTGGTGTGATCTAGCACCAGTGTTTATGCTAGGAAATCACAAGCAGGCAATTTGTATGGACAAGAGGAGAGGTTTCATAAGGGTATACTTTCTTGGAATTTCAACATTAGACACTGTATTTTGCCCACCAAGTCTGAAAAACAGTTTGTGGTGCTCCTACATAAGACCATGCTATATTCATAAAACCCTTTGCTTGTGTGTACTCAGTTCACAAAGGTTTATCCATTAATAATAATAATAATAATAATAATAATAATAATAATTTATTATTTATACCCTGCCCATCTGGCTGGGTTTCCCCAGCCACTCTGGGCAGCTTACAACAAAATATTAAAATGCATTAGTCTGTCAAATATTAAAAGCTTCTCTAAACAGGACTGCCTTCAGATGCCTTCTAAAAGTCTGATAGTTGTTGTTCTCTTGGACATCTGGTGGGAGGGCGTTCTACAGGGCGGGTGCCACTACCAAGAAGGCCCTCTGCCTGGTTCCCTGTAACTTGGCTTCTCACAGTGAGGGAACTGCCAGAAGGCCCTCAGAACTGGACCTCAGTGTCCGGGCAGAACAATGTGGATGGAGACGCTCCTTCAGGTATACTGGACCGAGGCCGTTTAGGGCTTTAAAGGTCAGCACCAACACTGAATTGTGCTCGGAAATGTAGTGGGAGACAATGTAGGTCTTTCAAGACCGGTGTTATGTGGTCTCGGCAGCCACTCCCAGTCACCAGTCTAGCTGCCGCATTCTGGATTAGTTGTAGTTTCTGGGTCACCTTCAAAGGTAGCCCCACATAGAGCACATTGCAGTAGTCCAAGTGAGAGATAACCAGGGCATGCACCACTCTGGCGAGACAGTCTGCAGGCAGATAGGGTCTCAGCCTGTGTACCAGATGGAGCTGGTAAACAGCTGCCCTGGACACAGAATTGACCTGCGCCTCCATGGACAGCTGCGAGTCCAAAATGACTCCCAGGCTGCGCACCTAGTCCTTCCGGGGCACAGTTACCCCATTCAGGACCAGGGAGTCCTCCACACCTGCCTGCCTCCTGTCCCCCAAAAACAGTACTTCTGTCTTGTCAGGATTCAACCTCAATCTGTTAGCCACCATCCATCCTCCAACTGCCTCCAGACACTCACACAGGACCTTCACTGCCTTCACTGGTTCTGATTTGAAAGACAGGTAGAGCTGGGTATCATCCGCATATTGATGAACACCCAGCCTAAACCCCCTGATGATCTCTCTCAGCAGCAGCATGTAGATGTTGAAATGTATGGGGGAGAGGACAGAACCCTGAGGCACCCCACAAGTGAGAGCCCAAGGGTCTGAACGCTCATTCCCCCCCCCCCACTTTCTGAACACGGCCCAGAAGGAAGGAGCGGAACTACTGTATAACAGTGCCCCCAGCTCCCAGCCCCTCTAGGCAGTCCAGAAGGATGTTATGGTTGATGGTATCAACAGCCGCTGAGATATAGCACACATAGTAGTGCTAGGAGTTTGCAGACACCTTGTCTTCCAAAATGGCTCCAGTTTTTGCACTACCTGGCAGAATACTGAACAGGGCATTCTCCCACCTCCCCAAAAAGAAATACTCACTCTGTTTTTATGAGCGTTCACTGAAGCATAGCGGACCGTTCCCCGGAAACCAGCAACATTACGAGGCTAATGGGAAAGATAATGAAAAATTAAACTTAAACATCAAACTTAAGAATTAGCAGAGCTGTTAATGTTTTATTTATCACTCAGGGCCATAAACCACTTTAATTACATTTGTTAACTTGAACTGATGCCCTAGGTAGGCATTTTGGTTAGGCATTAAAAGTTGCTCCTTGAATAAACCCCTCAGGAACAGTTAAAACATGACAGTGGAAAAGCCACTTGTACTTCACAGTGTTTACAAGAGATCTAATTACAGTTTGTTTGTTTGTTTGTTTGTTTGTTTGTTTGTTTGTTTGTTTGTTTGTTTTTAAAAAAAATCTGCTAAGGATAAGCCCTCCCTAAAAGAGAATACTTCCACCTTGAGTGGACAGAGCCCAGCTTCATCTCTGTAGAAAACCAAAAACCAACGGTTTGAAGTCAATTAAACTTCAGAGCAAGTGAGAAGTCCAAAATGGTTTCTGTAATCCTTTAAGTGACTACATAAAATGATCATGACAGCCTCATCTTCCCTTTAAAAAAACCCATTATTATAGTTGCATAACACAGGATGCTTCTGTCAACTGTTCCAATTAATTACCTTAATTCACACTGGCTTGGTTCACACATAACAATAAGCCATGGTTTAGTAAACTATTACTTATTAAACAATGGTTTGTTTCATCATCAACTGTACCCAGCAGATCTGAAGCAATGGCTTGTTGGCTTATTTAAATAATAATAAACCTTGGTTTATTCTAACTGTGGCTTGGCATAATGTGCAAACAAGACATCCTTATTGAGTTATAAAAATATTTATATATCGCCATGTCATAAAAATATATCAAACCATATAAAAGTTTAAAATATACATCTATTAACCGATTGTGGAAGGATGCATTCTTCATTACCTGATTGGCCTGGCAGAATAGAAAAGTTTTAAGCAGGCATTTAAAAAGTTGGCACAGAACCATGGTTCTTAACCATGGTTTGTTTGGCCATCCCACCCCATACCCTCAACTAAAAATAAAACATGAGGCAAGAGCAACTATAAAACATGGTAAAGCTATGGAGAAAAAAGCCTTGGTTTGTTTGATCATCTGTGGGATAATTCATAGTTAACTTACAGTTTGTTAAACAAACCTTGGCTTATAGTTACATTTGAACCAGGTCATTGTCAGAATCCTGCTGGTTGCCCATAAGCACTGGTTCCTCACTGCATTGACTCATATCCCAGTTGTTATAAACTCCATTGTAATTCCTCACCAAACTAGGAGATTAGGGGTTCTGAATAGCCTATTTGAAATAGTAACCTTCCCCTTCCCACCATTAAGCACTATCACAAAAAGTCTTTTCTAGATAATAAATTTCATAATTCAGGCTCAACTACTGTACTAAGCAAACTAAGCAAAAAAGGAAGTATTTTGTCACCCATTGGGGTTGAGAACAAAGAAGCATGTGCTAATGAAAGAACAATACAGATATTTTGTCATAACAGTTGAACCATCCCTTGCTGTTATGGTTAGGATTCCACCACTAAAAAAGCTTGGATTTCATGCTGTCTGCTTCAGAATGAAGTAATCTTAATGGCTATAAACAGGAATTGTCATATTCTGTTCTCCCATAAATAGTAAGAGTCAAGTACAACAATGGGGGAGGCTGCCGTTAAGTTCCAGGTAATCCCCGTCCAGGACAGTCCTGAGCCACTGCAATCTCAGAAAGACCCAGAACTTCAGCCCTATTGAGGTGTTCTCATCCAGATGTAATTCGGAAAAATGGGGGTGACAGTTCTGCCACCACCCTCTCACCCTCTGTGAGCTGAAAGGAAGCAGGGAGGCTTTTCTGCCATAGTAGGTTCCTCGTGCAAGTTAGAACCCGTCTTTGTTCCAGGATTCTGAATATTTTCAGGGAGCCTACAAGAACAGAACAGGCTCCCTGCTGCATGTGTTTGGTGGTTAACTTATGGAGGGTGACAAAGACGGCAATGGTGGTGGTGGAGTTAGCACATGTGGCCCACACAGAGACATATAATTCTCATTGTATGGGAGATCAGAACACCTGAATAGGACTTTTTTTGAACTCAGAATGCAGAAGACTCTTGGCCTGTACATCAAGAGTTGAGACATGTCCCAGTCCTGAAAAGCAAAAGAGTATATACCATCAAAAGCCAAAGCAAAAACAAAAGGAGAACTCAGAACTCTAATAATAATTAAAACAAGCAAGCACAAAATAAAGGGGGGTGGGGGGAAACCAAGAAGCATCATGATGGCTCACTCACAACTCATGGCTGAGATGGTTACAAGCAGCGGATGGGAAGCCAACGCATCAAACACAGTCTCAAAAAAGGAGCCCAAAAGAACTGTAAAACAAAGAGAAACCCAAAGAAAACCATGACAATAAAAATGCAAAATGGAGAGAAATAAAAACAGAAATGAATTTGAAATCAGGTCAACAATTTCACCATTATTATTATTATTATTAAAAATAATTATTATTATTTCCCTTCTCTTGCAGCACGTGCTTTGGCTTCACTGCTTAAATTATCTAAAGCTGGTCACTTTGCAGATACTTTATGCTGGGTGTTACACAGGGGCTTAGGCTTTGGAACTTGATCTGTGTGAGGTAGTACAGAACCTTCTGTCTTCAGGCAGAAAGAGCTGCAGTAAAAGCCACATAATCTCCCCACTCACATGCTCATTGACATTTTCTCAGCCTGAATTTATTGGCATTATTTCTTATTTCTGCCCTGTTGATTTTCGCCATTGTGTCTTGACTGTTACTGCCTATGTCTCTGTCTGAACTGGGTATGGCTAAGTCTGTATTCTCAGGGACCACTCTATTCCACCCTCTTAACACCCCCTGTTTATCTAGAACAGCCCTTATTTCCTGCTACCTGTTCCTGTCAACTCACCATCCCAATCTGTATTTGGGGAAGACTGGAGGCGCCTTTTAAAATAGAATTAAGAGTTGCCATTCTTTAGAATTCAACACCCACACAGCCACACACCCCACAGTATCTAAAAGGCAAAGACAGCAGCAATAGCTCAAGGGAGGTCACAATGGAATCCTTACTGGCAGTGTGAGTTTTCCAGCTTTGCAACTTACAAGGCGGATGTATAGATGAGCGAATTACACAGTGGTTTAGCCATCAGAATTGTTCTTCCCTCCCCATGCTTTAAGGCAGGTGCCCATACCTATCTTATTTCTACATGTGCTCACAGGCACATTAACCCATTTGGCCTTTATTTTGTAAAAACCTGATCTGGGAAATTGGGGGGTGGGGACTTGGTGACATAAAGGATTCAGACAATCATGCCATACTTAGTCAAGTATGCTGCAAATTCACAGAACTATTGTTCCCAGAGTTTAAACCTGGCTATTAGAAACTAAGTTTGAACTGGCTACAGTGATGCCAGAGCCATTTCAAAAGCAGCCTCACCACTTTATAAATTTATCATTCTTCATCCAGAAAGTTTGAAGAGGAAGCACAATTCTGATTTTCAAATAATGTGATCAGTGGATTCTCTCTCAATTGCAGAACTATAAAATGCCAATTTACCACTTCCCCTTTATCTCCTAAAAAAACCTCTCAAGATAGCAAATGTTGCTGACTATGCTTGAGTTGTATCTATTCCATATTAAATGCAATTATCTCCACTGAGAGACTTAACATTTGTACCACTTTGTTTTAAACATAATATCTTAGGACCAGTTAACTAACACATCTGCTTCAGAAACCAGTGCAGGGTGGGCTAAAGTAAATGAACGCATACAGAGTTATAATATAGAGAGTAAGGACAGCTTTCTAAAATATACAATAGAGTGTGTGAAATAGGATGGTACCCTTGATGTGATAATTAGCAGTATTACAAGTACATAAAAGTGTCCCTATTTTCATCTGTGAAGCATCAACACTATGTTGTTCCTCAGGGAACTGAAAATATATTTCCCACAACAACTGACTTTCACACAAGTGGTCAAGTACCATAATAAAGTTGGTGACATTTTGCAGTTCGGTTTTCATCACTTCATGAGCTCAAGCGTAATGGGGTCATAACAAACAAAATCTGAGAGAAAGGTGTAAACACAGCATGTAGCATCTATCTTAAACTCTTGAAACCTTTTGTTTCCAGTTGTATCACAGTATGGGCAACTTCTCTGCCACATCTTTATTAGCCTTTGGTCAGGCTGCCGGCATCAGAAACAATGCACTAGCACTGGCCATTCTGGTTGCAGACAATGAGCATTTAAGCATGGAAATCGCAATGTGTTGCCATTTATATTCCTGAGTTATTCATGCAATATTGTTAATAGTATGCAACAATGCACTGATTCTAACTTAAGTCACTCAGCTATGCCCCAATCAGATGCCAGCACTCACGAGGCTATTTTATTAAAACAGTTCTGCTCCAATATATATTTCAAAATGTAGCAATAGTTGCGCTGAGATTAGAAAATGCCTGTATCAGCAACTACATTTTTAAGTATTTGCACTGATGTGCCAATTTTAGATGGAACCTGGTCATGTAACAATTAAAAACATAATCTTCTTTAATTAGGGTTTTGGTTTCTGCTGCTTTCAACTTTCAAACCTGATCAAGCATTCTCTTTCCTAATATTCTGCCTCAGCCATACAGATACACACAGACACAAAACTGCACTTACAAATACATACAATATCCCCAGTCAAGCATTGCAAACTACTGCAGTGCGGTCTGAATCACGAGGAGACAGAGCTCTAATCAATGGTCTAGGGCTGACTCAGCAGAAGCAGCAGCATGCAAAACACAGCAGCGCATTGCCAATTCATGCAAACAGGAGAAGCTTGCCATGACAAAAATGCTGCTTTCCCCTTGCCATTCCATGAAAGATAAAGCAGCAGAGATGTATTCAGCAGAGAGCTTCAAGGGGAAGGGAGAGTTGCGCTAATAATAGAAGTGCGGGTCAGTTTTCAAACAGAGAACCAGGGTTTGCATTGTGAGAAAAGCATTATGAATTAAAGGCTACTGAACTGCTGGCAACAGTAA